GTACGAACGCGATTATCCAGTAGTTTCGCGTACGATCGACCACCACATTTGCATACAACGGACGACGAAAGCAGTCGACATACGTCGATGATATATTTCATCCGACAACAGTTGTGGTTGTCGTTTGCAGTTTCTATGAATGAAACGTCGTCGTCGTCGTCGTCGTCGTCGGGCCCGTTTCGATTGCGACGACCGCGCGTACACGGGATCTTTTCGATACACACGAACAGTCGGAAATCTCACATTCATATGCGATTTAATATCATGTATTATGCATATTATAACGATACATACGGGGCGACGAAGACGTGCGTTGCACCGACAATGGCGCATAAAACGAATAAAAATAAACAAAAATAAATAACATGTATGTGTACACGGGAAAACAAAAAAAGACCATCGCGGCCGTTTCGCATCGCGCGTGCGGTCGACTCGAAGAATACCATTGTGTAGTACACGTGTTGTACATATAATACATATTATTATATTCGATACAATATACGGCGTGCACACGTACGGGTACGGTGACCGCGGTTGTTTCGTTCGTCGTTGTTCGGGGAAAACGATAATTGTTCCTCTCGCAGGGCCGGACTCGAAATATTTAACGGTTTGCGCGATCGTAGCGTACAGCAATGAAACAACGCGCGGATCATATCGATTTTCATGATCCCCAGCGGCTAATTAACTGTTCGAACCGTCGAAACGGCGAGCGGTGCACCATGTTTTCCGACCTCGAGTGCGTCAACATAATACGCATACGGTCTCTTACAAGTGTCTAATACTCCGGGTTCGCTTTCCACCTACACCGTCCCGGTACATGTGCATGTGCTCCGAAACGCGCGCGTTGGTAATCACAATGCATGGCCGGCACCGTGAAATTTCCGTTTACCCGATGTTTGTTTCCCCGTAGGAGGTGATTTTTTTTCCATTCTTCTTCGACAACATTCCGTTCTACGGTGTTTTTTTTCGCCCTTCTCACATTTACAGCTCGTCGCGTTCGTGCGGCTTGCATTATTTGATCACCATGTCGATGTCACTCGACGGAACGTAAAATCACTGTCGTCGTACGCTAAAACGCGCATCGTCGTTAAACATTGTTAACGTAGTCCAACCTAACCAACGACGGCGGACATCGATGAGATAGGAGCCGTCGATTAAAGATTTAAAACAACAAAATTAAGTATTATTCACATGGTGCAGCAGCTATACGTTCTCTATACGGGATAGATCGCTGTACGGTATATGGTGTAATGCATAACGCGGTCGAACGGTGACGCCGCCGTGTTGGTACGCAGCGGGTGGAAAACGTGAGATGCAACGAACTTGATAACCCGTCGGACGGACACGTTGGCCGAGTCGATTTATTTGAAAAGATAAATAATAACACTTGGTGCGGAGAAAACGCACTCGTCGGAGATCGTCTGGAGGAGATAACGCGCGGACCGGGGCGTCGGTCTCGGATGGTCGTCGAACGCGCGTAAGACATTATTTTGACCGTCAGTCGTAGGCTGCGGTTGGCGTGTGTGTGTGTGTGTGTGTGTGTGTGTGTGCGCGTGTATGTGCATGTTTGACAATGAACGATTGCTAACAAGCGTACATGTGCGTGATCGTCGTGTTGCTCGCGCGCACAAATTTTCGTTTAAAGAGAGCTACAGAGTTAATAATTACCAAGCGCGCCCTGTACGCGGTACCGAAAACGTACGTAATATCGGTCGCAGCTCCTCTCTTATAACATTATTATATCGTCTCATAGAAATCGCTTTTCAATCTATATTTTCCTTTGTACGCGCGTGTGTTTTGTTACATTACACAATATAAATATAATAATAATAATAATAATAATAATAATAAAAGCAATAGTTATAAAAGTAATAATAATAATAATAGTAACATATTATTATACCCTCGGACGCGTCAGTCCCGACGCGATTTGTCACGCGAACTCTGTTGATAGGTACTCGCGCACGCACTCGTACGTCGGAGTTGAACGTACCGCGGTCGTCGCGTATGTCGATTTTTTACGCGTGTACATGTCATACATGCGCGTGTGTGATCGTTATACGATTCTACGGGGAAATCGATTCGTTTAGGCGTGTCAGACCGTCGGCTACATAATAGACAACACGACCGCTGTCGAAGTCGCCTCGAAATGCGCATCGTATCGCGCGTGTATCGATCAACGGGTCGTCGTTGGATGAATAGAGTCGGATGGAAGGACATCGCCGTCACACGCACGCATAAAGGCTGTTGTACGCGATTGGACACGACGAGATACGCGTGGGCTGTGCACGATCTCCGCACAAACACGTTGTGAACCGGCGATGTGACGAACAGCGGAATAATATTACGTTACGAGAAACCTGTGTGCAGCAGTGGGACATGGACCACGGGGGTGCAACGGGGTGTTGTTGTTTGCTCTCTGTTCGTCGAGCGGAATTTTGGATTTTCAGAATTTAGTGAAACACAGCGAACCCGAAGGGACGATACGCGCGGGATGACGAACGGGGGGTGAACGAGGATAACGAAGTTTCGTTGTGAGTACGGGGACGCTGAAACGTTCGTTGTTCGCCGATGGCTCGTCGTGTCCGTCGTCGTTTCCGACCGTTTCGGGTTCCGCGATCACCGAGGTCCCTCCTCGAATACCCGCACCGGAGCAGTACGTACGCCAAGGCAGAAGAATTCGATTTCGTCGTAGCAATCGTAACATCAAGTGTTACGTATATCTCGGGGCGGCAAGAGCAGAAACTAAAACTCGCCGGGTGACGAAAACCGAAAACCGTATTGTAGCCGTGTTTTGCGCTTCGTCGAAATCGTTCTCCGGGGCCGGTATGCGTCGTCGACCGGATAAACATTAATATCGCGTATTACGTACGACCTTAATTTGTGCGTCCTTAACGGACGCACAAAGAACGAACAAAAACCCGCGAGTACATCTGTTGCCGCGACGACGTTTGTTCTGTACATTTTCACACTCGTTCGTATATTATTCCCATGGTCCCGCGTGTTTATTATTATTTTGACATGCGTCTGTGACCCGCGGACCCACCGATGTCTTCGGCATGTGTCTAACGTTCCCGAGGGACCCGGTGATCTCGCTACACCATATCGGGCTATACATGGCACATTGGTCTCCTTACACGTTGATATTATATATACGTGTATATTTCCTCCGGTGTCGTCGCAACGCGTCTACACGTGAAACCGTCGCGAACCTTGAACACACATAATAATAATAATAATATGGTTTCTCACTACTGCGCGCGCTTGACCTTTTAACCTACGAGTTTCGAAAATCGGTTACGTAGCTGTGCTCCGCGCGTTAAAAACATATGCGTTCAAAGCACGCAGCTACGCGTAGGTTTACGCGGGCATTCGTTCGATTTGAATTTCTACAACTTTTTTTTTTCGTGTCAAAGCTTCAGTCTTGAAAATAATGTAATAGCGAATTCAGTATAATGTACGGTTTTCGATCTATTGTTGCGAGTCGTAATGAAACGTTACCGAAGTACGCGCGTTTGCTCTCCGACTTGTCTTGTTGTAGAAATGGCTACTACTCGTTTACGCAAAAATGCACAACTCGATTGCGCACATATATTTTGGCTATCTGTGACGAAAATCCTTAGTGTCAGAACTCGTTAGCTTATTAATCGCTTATCATCGTTGATTATTATACTCCTCATGATTATGAAAGTTGGTTACTTTTATTATTTTGTTTAATTTATTAACAATAACACTCGCAGGACATTTTTTATTAGTCCATCTAAAATTTGAACATCCACTCATTAGAACACAGTATTCACTAAATTTATTATTATCAATATTAAAACATCGTTTTCCTCATCGAGATACAAAAATATTAGAAATTTCTACGCCATATTAAATTTTACATCGTCAAAACACTAGTCACCACTCTACCATCCATATCCATAGTCCATACCTACCGAAACTTTACTAAAAGCTGATTGGAAAATCCAAATTTATATAATCTACAGTCAACACCAGAGGTTCCCAACCAAGGTGTCACGGCACCCTAGGGTACTGCGAGATTAAATTTAGGGTGCTGCAAAAATATTTGAAATATATATTTATTTTTAAATGCCTTCATGAAAAATATAGCACTGTGAGTAATAAAACAGACTATACTCCATGTCTATAGTATAAAACCTATTGTATATAATTAATTAGGTATATACATTATAATTTAATGAATTAATTATTAACACATATAATTTTTACATAGTAATACTGAGATGTTCAATCTATTTTAATTTTCATACTGATTCGATTGCTATCGATTTGATGTGAATTGTTTTAAAGTTATTTACGTTGAAATACTTTATCTTATCTTTATTGTTTATTAATGCTAAATAAAACCGAAGTTACAAAATATAAATTTAAATATACGATATATTAGTATTGCGTATTCAGTATAAACTATAGAGCATAGGGAATAGGCTACAGGGTGCCTTCAAATTTTTAGAAAATAATAAAGTGCCGTGAGTCAAAAAAGTTTGGGAACCTCTGGTCTACACAGTCGATTATAAGATAATATTAAGATAATATATATGATAATTTGTACATTATACGAGTATGTATACACGTGTCGTGTGTGAATTTATCGTGCGCAAACGAGTTATGCATTTTCAGGTAAACGACTGATTTCGTTGTGCGCAAACGAGTCGTCGATTTTCAGGTAAAAAATGTTGAATGTGCGCAAACGAGTTAGTTGCTGCAGTAGAAATTGATCGTTTTTTTTGTTTAAACGATCGTTCGACTAATTCCTGTACACGAAATTATACACAATATATACCTATGAAAATTATAGATATAAAAATGTATACATCAAATCTGCTCATTTTGAGCCGCTACGTTTTGCGCATAAATTATTTATGTTATTCGTTATTCAAACGTACGTTATACTCGCGGCCGTTGTCATTACACGTAAACTTTTTTTTTTGCAACGGATTGAAATAACGATTTCGATTTTGCTCTCGTTTCAGACGGAATATGTTCCGGAGATGGAGATGAGCGTTTAACGCCCCGGCGTAGAGTCGTCTCCGAAACGGACGGTCAGAGCGACTGCGCTCACGCACTGCACAGATCGAAGACGCGACAACCACACTCGATCATGACGCGGACGGCGGCAACGCGGCTGATGACGGTCGCGACCGCGTTACTGTTAGCCGCGGGCGGCACGCAGTGCAGCATGCAACCAGTGGCCGTGACGAACGCGGCAGCCGGGACGGGCCCGGCGGCCTCGTCGGCGTCCGGCGCGGCGGCGGCCGCTGCCGCGTCAGGTTCCGCGGCGGCGGGCCGGTGCGAGGAGATCACGATCCCGATGTGCCGGGGCATCGGGTACAACATGACGTCGATGCCGAATCAGCTGAACCACGAGACGCAGGAGGAGGCGGGCATGGAGGTGCACCAGTTCTGGCCACTGGTGGAAATCAACTGTTCGGCGGACCTAAAGTTCTTCCTTTGCTCGGTGTACACGCCCATATGCATCGAGGAGTACCAGAAACCGTTGCAGGCGTGCCGGAGCGTTTGCGAACGGGCGCGGGACGGCTGCCTGCCGGTGATGCAGCGGTACGGGTTTGTGTGGCCGGAGAAGATGCAGTGCGACAAGCTGCCGGTGCACGGTGGCCCGGAGCTGTGCATGGCCCAAGACGTGTACGAGCAGGGCGCGGCGGCCGGGGCTAAGCCCACCAGGAAGCCGGCCGCGGGGTCGGGCCCGACGGCGGTCGGGGGCGCCAAGTGCAAACCGGGCAGCCGGGCCAAGGAGTGCGAGCAACGGTACGCGTTCGGCGACGACTGCGAGTGCCGGTGTCGGCCGCCGCTGGTGCCCGTGGACAGAGACTCGTCGCGGTATAACCGAACCGTGTCGGTGGCCGGCGTGGAGAACTGCGCGATGCCGTGCCGCGGCGTGCTGTTCACGGACGACGAGAAAGACTTTGCGGCCACGTGGATCGCGCTCTGGTCGAGCATATGCTGCGTGACGACGTTGATGACGCTCACCACGTATACTATCGACACGCAGCGGTTCAAATACCCGGAGAAGCCGATCGTGTTCCTGTCCGGGTGCTACCTGATGGTCAGCCTGGGCTACCTGATCCGCGTGTACGCGGGCCACGACGCGGTGGCGTGCGAGCCGGATGGCTCCGTGCGGTACCACGCGTCCGGGCCCACGCCATGCACACTGGTGTTCCTGCTGCTCTACTTCTTCGGCATGGCCTCGTCCATCTGGTGGGTGATACTGGCGTTCACGTGGTTCCTGGCAGCCGGCCTGAAGTGGGGCAACGAGGCGATCGCGTCTTACTCGCAGTACTTCCACCTGGCAGCGTGGCTCATACCCACCGTCAAGTCGCTGGGCGTGCTGGTCATGTCCGCGGTGGACGGCGACGCGTTTGCCGGCGTCTGCTACGTGGGCAACCAGAACCCCGACCACCTGAAGATGTTCGTGCTGGCCCCGCTCATCGTCTACCTGGCGTTGGGCGTGTCGTTCTTGCTCGGCGGTTTCGTGTCGCTGTTCCGCATCCGGAACGTCATCAAGCAGCAGGTGGGCCGCAGCAAGGCGGACAAGCTGGAGAAACTCATGATCCGCATCGGCGTGTTCAGCGTGCTGTACACCGTGCCCGCGTCCGTCGTCATCGGGTGCCACTACTACGAGGCGCGATACATGCCCGATCGCGTCGCGCACCTCGCGTGTCCTTGCGCCGAACCGGACCCCGACACCAAGCCCGTGTACACCATGCTCATGCTCAAGTACTTCATGACGTTGGTGATGGGTGTCACGTCCGGCGTCTGGATATGGTCCGGCAAGACGGTCGGCTCGTGGAGGCGGCTGTCGCGACGGCTGTTCGGCGGCGGCCGTGGCAGCGTGGGAGGCGGCCACTGCGGCGGTCACGGGCGTGCAGGTTGCAAGGGCGGTGGCGGCCCGTGCAACCCTGTGCTCATCAACCCGGGCGTCAAGCACCAGCAACTGCACCAGCAGCAGCAGCAGCGCAAGCAGTTGCAGTACATGCCCGCGCCGTCGTCGGTGCCCGGCAGCACGCTGCCTTCATCCCATCACTTGGCCCCGTCGTCCAGCTTGCACCACCACCACATCATCAAGCAGGGCGCACCGCTTAGTCACGTATGACATCAGTACGCCACGCCTGCCCTCAGCTACGAGCAACCGGACCCGTCCGAGGACATGATGCCGTCCACCACGGGTCTCAGCGATTACGGTCCTCTGTAATGCGAGGACCGGTGGGCAGGATTGACGGCGGCCACGCGCACGCGTTAACACACACACAAACACACACCACATACATACACACACATACACACACACACACACACATATAAACGCATCAATGATCTCGATTGTATTATACATTTTCATTTTAAACCTCTATCAAAATCTCCCTCTCCCCGCGTACATATTTTACGGTTTAGCATGTACTTCTTTTGCACGCCCACGCAGTGCGTCCGTAAATCACGCGTCGTCCGTCCGTCGGTCAACATGTTCGCATAACCGGAACCAAACTCTCGCGTGGTCCGGACGACAACCGCGGTTTACGGGAACACCGCGTTTCCGACGATCCGGCGATGATGGCGCACAGACGGTTTTCATCAAAACGTCGTTCGATGGCCGTGCATACGTTCATGTTTCACATCCGGCGCTTTGCCCTGAATCCCGTCTTTATATATTATATATGGTATGTTATTATTTTGTAAATAGAAATTCTATAATTGCGTATAAATAATATATAATTATACGTACACCATAAGACGTCGTATTATGTACAATAGAGACGTAACAAGCGTATACTAGTCGTAACGGTTAAGTTGTGTATTTTTTTTTTATTATTATTTTTTTTATTTTTTATATATATTCTCGTTATTGTGTTTTAGCGGTAAGGTACCCTTTTATACTGTAATTAATGTAAAAAGGTAAATACGACATTCGGTTAACCGAGATTACTATAATTTACTCGTTTGTTTATTCTCTACGTAAAGAACGAACGAATACGATTATATTATTATTATTATTATTATTATTATTATTATCATCATGTGTTGTTCGCTAAAGCCGTGCAATATACTGTATGCTTATGGTTTTATTTTATTTTTTTATTATATAAACTGTTTGTGTAAGCCAAAAATGTTGTATTATTCGTGACGTTTTAGTCCCGTATTTGTACTACCTAACATAATAGTCAACGATGTATAGACATGCGAAAGCAAAAACCAACTGTATACGTAAATTTTTAAGTGATAATTAATTTTTATTATAATATTTGTGAACGCATCCACACATGATTTATCGAGTCGTTCGTGCGTGCAAATTATTTATACTACCTATTTATTATATATATAAAATCTATATTAAACTGTATTCGTAGCCAAAAACACTGTATGTGTATATAATATAATATTATAATATGTTTTGAATAAAAATTGTACATTTCATGTTTTCCTAACCGACGTGTGCAAGTTCTTACTGCCGTTCCCAACGCACCAAATACGGAGGAGAACAATTAAGAGAAATTAAAAAAAAATGAGGGGGGATAAGGACTATTAACGCGTGGTAAACTATTTTACATTCCCGCGAAAGGGTACGATAATTGCGGGTGGTTAACAAACGAGCCAGTGGTACTCGATTTCTTTTTTTTTATACTTCAAAGATATCGAGTGCAGCAGTTTTATTTAAATCGTCTGAAAATTCGGCAGACGAGTTTATCAGTAAATTGAGTCTAATTCATCGAGATCGTGAACAGGAGAGAAAAACAGCTGTACAACATTGACGCATCGGCTTCGCACTGTTGGCGGCACATGTTCCCGCTCGAACGACCCATAGATTAACATTGATATCGTGTTAAATGATTTTCGTGCGATTCGTGATATTTTAAACGATATTATCGCGTTTAGCACATAGATGTTCATAAGGAATTCTCGGTCCACGTGCAAAAAATGACGTAAATATCTAAATTCTCAACATAAACAAAGAATGCGTATTTCGAATCAAGTGATGCGGAGAAATATTCCCCCCCCCCCCAGTTTACACGGTATTCGGATGTGAAAAGGTTAAAAACCACCACCACGGTCCCGGACAATAAGTGAGCCCGTTAACGTGTGTACGGGACTATCGATTCCGGGAGTGCATGATTTAAATTAGGGACGACTGCAATTTTAAAAGCCACGACCGACGAACGTTGTTTAGATCGATGGCGCTCCTAGACGTTTTTATTGGCAAGGAGGGCAAATTTCATAAATGTATCCACGTTTATGCATTTTTCTAGTGCGAAATAAATAATAAATTTAAATATAAAGACCCATTGGAAGTGACGACCCGATTCGTTGCAAAATTAATTATATTAAATTTCAAAATTAGTTAAAAAAAACACCATGGAGAATATTATTATTTTTTTTTCACTCCTCTTTGATTAATATCTGATGATTAACAACACAAAAACGACTCTTAATTAAAATAAATTACGAAAAATGTTCGTCGATTTCAACGCGAATAATATAACGAGATTTAATTAACAGCGTAATGTCTGTATTCATCCGGTGAGTGTAAAAAATACACGCCAATTAGCCGAACCTGAAACGCGAACAACATTTTCATTGAAACCGTGTCGCGTGCACTTCGGCTTATGCACGTACGCGCCTGTCAGGGGCGTATCTAGGTGGAGGTGGATCAAACCTCCCTCCCACTCTCTCCCCTAAACGTTAACGAATTAAAAAAAAAGTATTGCTTAGTATTTTTGTCCGATTTGAGTTTAATATCATAAACGTTGGCCAGTATTGTTTATGCAATTCACTGTAGATCTACTACTATAAAACGAATTATAACCAAAATTACGATCATGTGAAATAATTCGCGAAACAACATTTCGACCCGAACGAACGAAAGAAGAGTAAAAGAAAGTGTAAAAAACGATGTACACATTTACCGTGCGCGATTTCGATCGTATGTATTACCGAGGGAAATCTAGGTGACGGCTAATATTAATTTGCCAGTACTGCCTTATCGATGGTCATCGAAGCAAATTCGGCAAGGAGTCTTCTCAAAACCTCATTTATACGCGCGCGCTAAGTGAGGTGGCTTTTGAAATTTCGATTAAAGGTCTTGATGGTATTATTTAAGTATTGTATCTCTATTCAGACGCGACGAGAAACGTTCTTCACTGTTCTTCTTGAGTCTGCATAGCGAGTAAAAAAGAACCACATTCGAATACCGCAATATATTTTTAGTAACACACCGTACGAATCTTCAACTTGTGTGCATGTGTGTACGCGAAAGAGTAAATGGATCAAACGAAATGTAATTTACGGTTAATCGTTTGGTGTGCCATAATAACCGCTGCGATTTAAACTGTCCGTTCTTCACCACGAACGGTCGAACCAGTTTCTATTTCTGCTTGGACGATCGGTAGTAGATTCGTTGCAACTCAATTGTTCACAACGAAATGTTAAGAATTCAATCATCACGTATTTTATCATGTGTAATGTCTTATTTACACCGAATAATAATATACGGCCGGTTTACATAAACGATCGTACCACGTGCAACTATTCGATACGTCACATGTTGAACGACAACCAATCGTGACCGTAGTTTAGATTAACCAACGGTCCTCATTTTACGATGGTAACAATTGTTCATCGGAGCGGACGGTCAGTGAAATGTAAAACCGCCCCAGGACGTGTAAGGTCGGTCTGCGGCACCGCGTATTATGAATGGGTACGACGTTGTACTTGCGCCAACAGACGATCCGAATATTGAAATAACTTTACTGCAGGACGACGTGTATATGCGCAATTTGAGGTCCCGGGCGCGCTCAGTACTCCCGATTTTGAAATTAGCACCTCAAATTTGTTCATGTTAGTTCACGTATAAATAGTCACTGGTTAGTTTTATTTATTTATTTATTAAAATAAACGCCAAAGTTGATTCTCGTAAAGAATAATACACAATGAATACAATAATATATAGCATACGAAATAATAACATTAAATATAATAATAATATTATCTAAAGATAGTCTACAGACATTTAACAATTACTTAACCAATTAACTGTAATAATGAAAAAAATGTAAGGCCTAACTCGTTTGCCAGTCTCGAAATCCTTCCAATAGGTTATTATGTTCATAATTAGTACGGTTTTGGAATAAAAACTAGAATTTGTCCGTGAATTATATTGAGTTAAAAATAACTATAAATAATTGAGTTTAAAAATAATACGTTATAAAAGAGGGGAACAATTTATTTTGCCACAAATTAATTTAAAGACGTACCAAATATCAGTTTTTTTACTATAAAAGGATAATAGATTAACATTCAGGATATTTTAAATATAAATTATATCATAGTTATTTTCATTATTTGATATTTTTTTAAAGCCATCATATCGCAAAAATCTTCTTTTTGTACCTTTTCGATTTTTTCAATATAGCAAGACGAGAATGGGCACCCCATATGGTAGATTCGTACTCCAATCGTGTATAGAAGACTGAGATTTTATTTAAACATTTACTTAATATTTTAGTAATTGTTGAACTGTACAGGTTGCGAATGTTTATAACCACAGATGAACATGAAAAAGATGCAGTGGCTTCAACAGTACCTATATTTTTATTGAAATTGTGCTCTTGACCACGACGATCTCAATGTACGTGTTCGTACGTGTAATCACGGAAGTCGTGATCGTCCTCGTCGGGACGATAAACAATGGAAACGATTTCGGTTTGCATAAAAATTACATTTGTTTTGGCAGGCCGTCAATCGGCTGTATGAGTTATACTACCCATCCGCTACTACGGTCGGCCATCACATGTGTGTCCGTTTAAGACATGTACACGGACGAAAACGTTTGCGAACGTTTACAATACGATTTTCACGTAAAGTAAAATATGTACAATATCATTTTTATTTAAACTTTTCGTATCGCATACCGTATTCCGCCCACTAACCATAGGTGCAACTAGGGTAAAAAATCTGGAGGGGGCTACAGCCCTCCTACCAAAACTTAAAATAACCTGGAGATTACCCCTGTTCTTATATACCATGTTAATATATTTTAGATTTTGAGCCAAGTTGGATTTACTGCAATGTATCTTTTTTTTATGTGACACTATTGTGATTTAAGTATGCTGTATGCCGTATACCATGTATAACATGGAATATTTATGGAGGGCTAAATGTTGGTCCGGGAAAAGGGGGGAGGCTAAACCCCTCAAATCCCCCCTAGTTGCGCCTATGCCACTAACTAAACAACGTTTGTACTATTGTACAAGGATCACGAATGGATTATGCGGTGTACGCGTTATTAATTCATTCTAATCGCCATAAAGGGCTGGTGCCCGATTCCACGTGTTAGCTTTGTAGTAGTAATAACACGCGTCGTATAATATTTCAAGATGCATAAACGTAGAAAACAATGGATTGGTGTTGGAAAGATCATCGAGAGTCGGTGCAAGGGCTCGTACAATGACCGTATCGTTTGTAGTGGATGCGAAAAAGCAACCGAATAGCGTGACAGGCGGGAAGCACACGTCAAAAGTTATTCTGGAAAACGGTCGAAAAGTCGTACGTCCATCAATTTTTGCCAATGGTTCAAAATCGCATGGACAGCTTGTTCTTCTCGTACTCGGGATGGACCATTAAAGTCTTTCGCCGCTCCAGCAATTCCTCTCCGCTGATTCCCATCCGATGTCAAACCATCGCTGTACGTAGGATCTATACTTGTTATGTCTCGGTTCACTGTGTCCATCCAACTGTGGCGTGGGCCTCCCTAAAGTTATTTTTCTCGGTTTCTATTTTTTAGGACCATGGTATTTACAATATTTATGATAATCATATAACTGTATCATACTTGGTGGTGTGTTCAGAAATTTCGAAAAACCGTATTATTTAAATATTATAATTGAAAATACGTTTTTTATTCAATAAGATACGTCTCTATGTAAATTTTAGGATCGATAAAAATGTATAATTTTGCCCATTGATAGACTTTTGAAATAACGAAACACATCGTACAACTTAAAAATTTACATTAACCTATTCGGTACACACCGATTTTATGTTTTATTTTATATGGAAAACTTCATAATGGTTTTTTTCGAGGACATTAGATCGTTTTTTTTAAGATTTATAGATTATTTTTTTAACCCATGTAGGTATATAATATATTATAATTTATAATTTGCATAAACAGATGGTGCCGCTAATAAATTACATGTAATGGTCATCAATAAC